ACCTGCTATAGTTAGAGAATCCTGATAAAATCCCCAAAAGAATCTGCAACGATATTGGTCCTGATCTGGCATCTCAGTTTCAGTCACTTTTCCACCATCATAACGTAGTTTCCTTGTAGCTTTTCTATAAATTGCTCTGCTGAATTTTCGTCTGTGATACCTAACCTTTATGCAGTACTAGATTGGCAGTAAGACCTAATCATTTTTCAGTTGAATTAGCAAGATGTAACCGTAAGTTCTTTGCTAACAGTTTCTTCTATCGCACTTCTCACTTGAGAAAATCTCTTCTAGCTTCTTGCTAACCAGTCAGCTTTGATATTCAAAAGTTTAAATGCAATGTCAATCATTACCTTCTATCTTTTTAATACTTGTTCATTCGTTCTCGGCATTCCTTAATAGTATATATTTTCTGATATCGTCGTATAAATCGCTTCCGTAGTTTCTACTGCAACTATGCTCAGCAGACCGTAGTTACAGTTTCGGGGAAAGAGCGTATTGTCTAGCGTGATCAGCAATTTAAACAAGGTCAGCACATTCAAACCCTCGGCCAGGATGACTTGTGACTTCGTGCTTACACAGCTATCGACGGCCCTCGAGAGTTCTGTCTCCGCAATTTCACACACAAGGCTTGGGTCAACCCGTGCTATGGTTTTCTGGCACTTTCCAAAGGTGCCGGACGCTGGGATCGACCCCCTCCAGTCGGATAAAAACAGGAAGTCGCCTTCCTAACAAATTGGCCATGGTGAGATTCGAACCCGGGACTCATGGTCAGAATGCGAACGTGACCATATATATATATATATGTGTATGTGTATGTGTGTGTGTGTGTGTGTGTGTGTGTGTGTGAAGGAATATATATATATATATATATATATATATATATATATGAAGGATATATATATATATATATATATATATATATATGAAGGAATATATATATATATATATATATATATATATATATATATATATGAAGGAATGTATATATACTGTATATATAAGTTTTAGCTTATTGTTATTTGTGCTATATACATGAAGGGGTAGTTTTTGCACTGATGTACAGGACGGATGATCTGCATTAGTGGACAACGGCTGGATAATGGACTCAACGACAAAGTGCACAGAACGATGACGATCCGCATCATATTAGTGGTTTCGGCTGTCGGGCAAAAGCATGAAGAGAAGATGGGCGCCGCTAAGTTATCTACAAGTCCACTGAAAGGGTTATGAAAGGGTTATCCACTGTGCCATGTGTCCTTGGCACGTGGAACTAGAACTAGAAGAGTCTACCCCATATATATATGCTATCAAACGTTAAAATCTGTGTTTATCTAAGTTGCTAAAGCTATACCACCTCTCTCCTTCCTCCAAAAATCGTACATACATCTCTTATAGCGATTTTCCAAGCATCGCTTGGATGTGGCACAAAGCAGAAAGTAAGGGGCACCCAGTGATGATCGAACTCACTACTCAGTCGTTATTGTTCTAGCGAGACAAGCTTGCTAACCATTACACCACCTCG